ATAACACACAGAATTACTGGCTTTTTGGACTTTTTCCATCATACTAGAAAACACGACGTTTCGGAAACTGGATCTGTTTCCGTCCTCAGGTGAGGGGTGAAGACACCTACTCAGTTGAGTCCCTTAGAAAGAGCTAATCTCAATCACTGTAAATCTGACGGGGGTTGTCCAATGATTGAGATTAGTTCTTTCTAAGGGGCCAAACTGAGTGTCTTCCCCCTTCACCTGAGGACGGAAACAGATGCAGTTTCCGAAACGTCGTGTTGGTCGTGTTTTCTATTTTCTAGCATATCGGACGACGGAAAAAGTCCAAAAAAACCCGGTAATTCTGTACCTTGACTGCTGTTTAATAATCGTCTAAAATCCAGGTTCGTCTTATAACTGCAATATTTATAGTTCTCGAGAGTGGAATGCTTTTGTAATGGATTGGACCTTAGGGTGCTATAAGAGGGATGGTTACAACGAGCAAGTTAATGGGCTGTTATGAGAACGTTCAGCGGTGTGAAGCTAGCCACAGGTTTGGTAAAATCGATCTGTGAATCCTGAATAGCTATGTTTCCTATAATATCATAAGATTTTTTGTTGCCCTTTGTTCTGACAAAGAAATCTTAAGTATCCTTGGACAGTTTCGTATGTATCACTCGCAACAAAGATCTTGTCACTGGGGCGAGTAAGGAACCTAAGAGCGGCCTTCGTAGTCTAGGGGTAACGTTCCCATCTCATGACTCGTAGTACGCGGGTTCAAAAACCCGGCGGAGGTCGTGGAATTTTTAAGGATGGAAAAATTCAGGGAACAAGTCCTCCGGGAGGGACTTTAAGCCGTGGGTCCCGTGTCGTAGATTTACGGCACGTAAAAGAACCTCATGTCTCTAGGAGACCTCTGAGCAAAATTAGGCAACATTTCCCGCCCAAGTAGTTTCCAATTCCTCCGGTAGATGGGGGAAGTATTAGGTACCACTGCCAGAGGAGGGGGGACCTCTCTAACAGAAAGGGACTAACTATTAGATACCACTGCCAGAGGAGGTTGGAACCTCGCTGGCAGAAAGGAGCTGATAGTAAGCACCAGTACCGGTAGGGTATGGAGACAGTAGAAATTAAAGGGGGACGCACAATGGACCACTAAGCGGTCTAAGTGCATGGGGAAACCCACCTCCTCAATACGGAATACGGAAGGAACCTAAGACATACAATCATGGAGATAGAAATAGTTAACAATCTTGAAAATGTTTTCTAAACTTCTGAATTTTTATCGAGCGATAAAGTTGATTAATAATTCAAAATTTAATTTGGTTGACAAATTTAGTTAGAACATCGAAAAATGCCTCTTATTTCCATCCACCAAAGTGACACAGCTCCCATGAGAATAAACCGGCAGGCAACTGACAGCGGCGGAAACTGGGTGTTTATAAACATCGATCATCATCTCCACTCTACCCACGTCGCTAAGCAATACGAAATAATCTAAATATAACACAAAAGTACAAAACTTGTGCCTATCTGGGCGAGGAAGGTCACGGCTTTGACGACCTCTCGTTTTCATGAAACCATAAAGGAACAGTTGTTCTGAGTACTTGAAAAATGGTAGCTTTGTGTTATTATAAACCATTAACATCAAACCGCACCAATGTAACTGAGTGTGTGGCAATTCAACCCACTCCGCATCGACGCAATCTGCTTATTTAAAAAAATCACTTGAATAGGATATGCATGGTCTCCAAAACGGTAACTTGTCTTACCAAATTCTGTGTGGTTATACCATGCACCCCAAACGCATGGTGTTTCCCAGCTTATCCTAATGCCCGTCACTGATCTATCCTACAAACGGTTCAACCAATCAAATCCCGAAGTTCATATTCATATCCTCGTACTTTCCTTCAGTCACTGTTTATTTCATCTTCCTCGGATCTGCGATTCTTTTACAGCTGTTGCAAAAAATGTTGTAATCTGAAGAAGGCCGTCTTCTGGGATGCGGCTCCGTGTAGATCTTGTGTGGACCGACGTTTCAGAGGAACGTATCGCCTACATCTTCATGGTAGAAAGGTCCGCGAGCGAGGAACCAGCTTGAGCAGGTGGCTGGCGCCACTTCTTCATAGTCACTGCTGTGGGAACCCCAAATCTCACGTATTGCAATCTGCGTTCCCGTGTGTCTATTCAGATTTCATTTGAAAAAAACTCTGATAAATTTTCGCCATAGAAAGCAACCGCACATTCAGTGCCAAGCTGGATTATTAAATCAGTTATTAACTAATAACATTCCATGGATGTCAGTAATATATAAAGCTAAATCAAATACGATAATTAGAATGATGACGTCAAGGGGGATGTGGTACATGTAGCACGAATGGGGGAGAACAGGAATGCATATAGGATATTGGTGGGAAAGCCAGAAGGAAAGAGACCACTGGGAAGACCAAAACGTACTTGGGTGGACAATATTAAAATGAACCTTAGTTAGATAGGATGGGATGGTATGGATTGGAATGATCTGACTTAGGATAGGGACCAGTGGCGTGTTCTTGTGAACACGGTAATTAACTTTCGGGTTCTATAAAATGCTGGAAAATTCTTGAGTTGTTGCAGATTTGGAAGCTCCTCAAGAAGTGCTCAGCTCCATAAGTAAGTAAACCAAATACGAGTTACGAACTGGAGTATCTACACAGTGAACAGCACTTTTACTATTTTTGGTAATTCGAACAAAAGGACAAAGTCATTCTATAAAGAAGACACCAATTTCCTTTAACATATCGATCTTCTATCAGCCTTCTATCGTAAATTTCAAGGTTACGTTCCTGTGCTGGTGTCTGCAGCCACTGTTCGACGTCTTTCAAGCAGACAATGATAAGATCAGATCAGAGTACTGACAGAAATCCATTATTAGCATGCAGTACTTAATTTGACCTAGTAACCCAAATAACATTTCTACAACAAACAAATCAACAATTGTTATCGACCTTTTCTAAGACGCTTGCGGTACATAAGTCTAAAATAAAGTAAAAGTAAAGTAAAGTAAAGTAAAGTAAAGTAAAGTAAAGTAAAGTAAAGTAAAGCTATTTTTGTACCAGGCCGTGAAGGCCCATAGGGTTGTGAGACGTTGAGGGTCCCACATTATCTAGACAATCGGCTCAAAGATGGCGGTAAGGTTGTCAGCCTTACGCGCCGGCCGCTCTTTACTCCCCAGGAAAATTATTTAATTAATTCCTGGTACTCATTTCTATTAGAGGATGAGTGAACCCCAGGGCCTAGTGCGGCTGGAAGGATTAGGTCAACTGAAAAAAATCCAATGACCTCATCGGGATTTGAACCCGCGACCTTCCGGCTTGTAGCGTAGCACCGCGTGCCCCAAAGTCTATATGGTAAGTGTCCCAAAATATTCTGTATTTTGTTGCACAAAAAAAGTTTTCTAAAAACTATGCTGAAAAAGATGTAACGGTTTCTCCATGATAAAACCAAAACATATTTCCAGACGTACAAGCATGTACACGCATATGAGAAATATGGTTTTTGCTTGAATAATTCAGCACAGAATTCTACGAAATCTGAAGGTCACTAGGGTTCAACTTCTAGGGAGATATAACGGAGTGAATGGCCCTTGTTGCCTGCTCTCCGTGACTAAAATCTTAAGCTCCTCTCCAGAAGGAGAACAGACTGTGTGTATGTGCGTGTATATGCATCTGAGAGCTCTGAAACGAACTGGCAGGCTTCAATGAAAAGTTGTAGGAAGATGGCGTCACCCAAGTCCACCCTTCAAATCCATATTTCCAGTTCCTCCAACTTTTCGCCAGTTATAATACACACAGCCTCAATTCTGTATAGCATACCGCAAATATGCAAACTCTGAGACGAAAATATTCTTCTAACAAGGAGAATAATGTTTGCAGAAATAAATATGAGTATTAATGATGCTATATAAATATAGCTGATCAGATATTACGTACTGGCTGTAAGGCATTTGAAGTTAAAATCACTCTATGATCCTCACTTGTATTTCCAGGACTGAAACGCCTGATACGATGGAGAATGGCAGGACTGTTTTTAAATTTCTATTTAGTTGTATGATTTTTATTTATATAAGTTCCTATGCTTCAATAAAGGAGTGGAGAGGAGATTTTCGCTCCCCAATGACCCGGAATAATGTCGTCTTTCGGAATACTTTGTACTTGATCATACTGTATATTAATTATTCCCAGACACACACAATTATTTGATTTCTATTCCTGGAAGTTGTAACATTGAAAATGGTGTAGGCGTGATACCCAAAGGGAGGATATGTACAATTGTAGGATTTGCTCTTGTTCCCACAAACTATGTTCAGAAATATGTTGCAGTAAGTTTTTTTTTATTATTCTTTGGCGCTACAGCCCAAATTTGGGCCTTAGCCTACCTCCATGAAACTCCATGAAACAAATTACAACACTCGCAGCTAAGAAGGGAACACACATCACAAGACGCGGTTTACACAGAAAATAAGAAAAAGGACCCCGTAGTGAACGAACCACATGCAAGTTTTAATTAAGACAAATAAGATGAATTATCTTAACAAGTTTTAGCGAGTGTAAATTTATCATAGTTGACAAACACGGACTTTTTAAATACTTTTTAAATGGTTGGTGAAAACATATGAAGGCAGGCAATGCAATAGATTGACGTAGTTGGGACACCTGATGATGGCACTGTGTTGCCGAAACATGTTGCGAAGTGACAGGTGAAATTGTGTGCACTACAAGACGGCCACTATATATAAAATGGATGAATACTGCTTCCTATGACTGAATCTTTGTGTAAACGTAGCTGTCCTTCAAGAGCAGTTGAACTTCACAGCTGCAAATTAAATGAATTTATGCATTCAGACTGTCTCTAGGACTATTGCTTATAAGAGTACTTCACAGTTAAACGACTATTGTACAACGAATTGTGACGAAAATACCGCTACAATTTCTCGTTAAACTTCAAAGGGGTTTATGCTACTTAAAGATACTTTTTGCAAAGTCTGAGGTACTCACTCGGTAACCTGCATCATGATGTCGAGCTGAGCTGCCATCTGTAGAGAGAAAAACACAACACTATTACAAGGATAACGGAGGAATAAACTTAGATAAATTTCAACCGAATTACATAGAGGGAAATTTTCCCATTCAAAATCACTAGAAGTGCCACAACTGTTTCATGTGGGATCCGTTGTGCAGTATATTTTCTCTCAACAGTAAAAATTTACATACTGGAGCAAACGAAAATTGGAGTACTGATTTGAAAAATGCTTTTATTTCTCAGCATAATCTCCCTGTACATTGAGGCACTTGTCTCATTGTTTCACAAGCCCCTGAAAACCAGCAGCATAAAATTCTTCGGGCTGCTGTCGGAACCAGGCGTGTTCACACGGCATGGCCTGCCTCATAATGCATGACAGGTTAGGTTTTCACAAGGTCTGTGCACGATGGGTGCCGCGCATGCTGACCCCACAGCACAAAATGCAAAGAATGAGTCTGGCATTACAGAAATTCAATCGCTACAGCGATGAAGGACACGATATGCTGGGCCGAATTGTAACAGGTGATGAGTGTTGGGTTCACCATTACCAGCTCGAGACAAAGGCGTGCGTCAATGCAGTGGAAACATCCTGCGTCGCCTGCCAAAAAGAAGTTTAAGGTGAGAACATCCTCCAGGAAAGTGATGATCACAGTCTTCTGGGATCACGAAGGCATACAGCTCACCGCATTCCAGCCTCTAAGACAAACCGTAAATGCCGACTCCTACTGTAACATCCTCAGGAAACTTCGCAAGGCCATCCAACAGAAGCATGCAACCTGTCATGCAGTATGAGGTAGGCCATGCCATGTGAACACGCCTGGTTCCGACAGCAGCCCAAAGAATTGTATGCTGCTGGTTTTCAGGGGCTTGTGAAACAATGAGACAAGTGCCTCAATGTACAGGGAGATTATGCTGAGAAATAAAAGCATTTTTCAAATCAGTACTCCAATTTTCGTTTGCTCCAGTATGTAAATTTTTACTGTTGAGAGAAAATATACTGCACAACGGATCCCACATGAAACAGTTGTGGCACTTCTAGTGATTTTGAATGGGAAAATTTCCCTCTATGTAATTCGGTTGAAATTTATCTAAGTTTATTCCTCCGTTATCCTTGTAATAGTGTTGTGTTTTTCTCTCTACAGATGGCAGCTCAGCTCGACATCATGATGCGGGTTACCGAGTGAGTACCTCAGACTTTGCAAAAAGTATCTTTAAGTAGCATAAACCCCTTTGAAGTTTAACGAGAAATTGTAGCGGTATTTTCGTCACAATTCGTTGTACAATAGTCGTTTAACTGTGAAGTACTCTTATAAGCAATAGTCCTAGAGACAGTCTGAATGCATAAATTCATTTAATTTGCAGCTGTGAAGTTCAACTGCTCTTGAAGGACAGCTACGTTTACACAAAGATTCAGTCATAGGAAGCAGTATTCATCCATTTTATATATAGTGGCCGTCTTGTAGTGCACACAATTTCACCTGTCACTTCGCAACATGTTTCGGCAACAGAGTGCCATCATCAGGTGTCCCAACTACGTCAATCTATTGCATTGCCTGCCTTCATATGTTTTCACCAACCATTTAAAAAGTATTTANCTTAAAAATTCCACGACCTCCGCCGGGTTTGAACCCGCGTACCTTGAGTAATGAGGTGGGAGCGTTACCCCTAGTATACTACATCACATGTATAATTACTACGAACAACAAAAAATAGTTTCTGAAAGTTCAGCGCAGATTTCTCTGCACTGACATTCTATTACAATAGTATAGTTCCTGATAGTCTATACAGATTTCGTTCATAAAATCTTCCAGTCTGATTAGTACAACACAAAACAGATTATTCAATTGCAATTAATTTATCACTCATCACATTCATCCACGAGGTAATTAAAATCGTAAGAGAGGGTACTACCAAAAAGTTTTAATAATATTTCTACAATTTATAAACATTTAACGCATTGCCTATACTTGGAATTAATTGGAAAAGTAACAAAGATAAAGATAACCCTATAAGAGGCTGTGGAGGCCCACAGGGTTGTGAAACGTCAAGGCTCCCACATTTTCCAGATAATCGACTCACAGATGGCGATGAGGTTGTCAGCCTCACGCGCCGGCCGCCTTTTACAACCTAAGAAGATTCCTTGTACTCATTTCTGTTAAAGGCTGAGTCGACCACATGGCCACAGTGTGTCTGGAACGTTTAGGTAAATCAAAAAATTCAGTGACCTCATCGGGAATTGAAATCGTGACCTTCCAGCTTTTAGCATATTACCTCAACCAAATACGTTACCGCGTGCCCCGATATTAATTGGAAGACAAAGCAGACCAACCTGCTTATTTCCCAAAGAGCACTCCTCACAGAAAACTTCAGGATCTATCATTAAGCTACAATTCCACGTCAGATAATCATATGAATGTCATGCTAATATCAACAGAACATGGGTTCATAAAATATTTCATAATATTACGTAATTTCACATGTATGATGCTGCGGACATTTTACTGAAAATTAAAGTAACCCTCCCCCTCCACCCAAATGAGGTAAAATATAACATTACTCCTGTGCAGGTACCACGGCACGAATATATGTAAGAGGCTACGTGGTAAAGATTGGCGACTTCTCGTTTTCGGCATGAGATAAGGGGTAGTAGCTGTTTTCATTTTCGGAAACCGACCTAACAGTCAAGCGGATGTAAATTATAATTTTTACTTCAGAAAAACAAATTAATTTCGTTTATTTCCAGAACAAAGGAAAATGCTGGAAAACCGAATCGTACCAATCATAGGAGCAGATGCTAAAATAGGAACTGCATTAAAACGAACAAAGGAAATTCGTTGTGTGCAGAATGCCACAAGACCTCAAAGAAGAATTCCCGTTTGTCTTCATATCATTCATTCTATTCCTTTTTGTTTCACTGAAGACGTGTCGCTTTTGTTTTTCCCACTGTGAAGGGGAACTGGTTCATCGGATTCAACATTTCATCTGTGATTTCTTATTGATTGTGCCACTCCCAGTATTCCTGTCTAAGTACTTACAAACTTCACTCCACGGAGCACAGTACCTCAGATGTTAATAGTCGCTGTCAGCAAAAAACATTTCAGTGTTTTACGAAACCGGAATTTTCATTACCATGTCCACAAGGGATGCAGAGGGATGCAGTCAAAATCATTACACTTTATTTCTGTAACATTCATTTTAATATTATTATCCTACTTGGGTTTCCTAAGTTGACTCTTCTGTTTGGGGCCCTCGTCTCTCCCAAGCGCCCACAAGCCCCGCCTCCTTCATATTCCTTGTTATCATCATCAACGACAAAACAGCCCTTTTTAAGCCGCAGCCCCTCTTAGAAGATTCCTCAAGATTTGTCATCCGGGATTCACTTCTTTGGATTTCACAACAATACTATTTTACAGAGCAAGTGTCTCAGCATTGCATCCAACCCCCAACCTGGAGGACCAGGTGCCTGTATTTATGTCCCCCAATGACAGGGTGGTCCAACTATACTTCCAGGCACCGGGTTCCCTTTTCGTCACCTTCTACGACCCGCTGGGCTACAATGGCGATATTCTAACCAGCCTCCACACTGGATTCTTTATTTGACCATTCCAGCAATATTCTGTAGAGAGCACAGGGTGTGAGGTTCTTCAAATAATTCTTCCATGTCCTTTGTAACATTTCGTGATGTATTAACTTTCGGCAATGAGGGTTGCTGGTCACCCCGGGAACCCCCAAACTGGAGGGCTTCACATTGTTGGTCCTTCATGATTGCTTATTCAATATATCCACAGCTGCCCTCCATGTGTGGAGGCCAGAGCCATGACGTGATAGTAAGGTATCCATTTAACGCACTCTAATGGGGCATGTTTTTACTAAATTAAAGTCGGGTGGAAACACTCACAGCAGGCTCTAATATCTCCGCTCAAAATGTTTGACATCGGTGTCAAGATGAATCTGGCCATACATATACGGCAGTGGCTACAGTAAATCCGAACACAGATGAAAGGCGAACAGACATCCATGCCTCGAGTGGGATTCAAACCCACGATCCCACTGTCTGAGCGAAGGCATAAGTGAATTGATATAACATTTAATATGCAGCCTAAAATAAAGTAACAATTTAGAGTGACAAAAATATTTCGAAATTATGAATAAACGTAAACCTGTTAGTATAAAATATAATTAAACTTCATTAATAAGAAGATTTTTAAAAACATACAGTGTACAATTTTGCCTGTGGTTCTATACGGGTGTGAAACTTGGCCATTAAGGGAGGAACATAGACTGAGGGTGTTTGAGAACAGGGTGCTGAGGAGAATATTTGGACCGAAGAGGGATGAAGTGAGAGGAGGTTGAGAAAACTGCACAGTGAGGAGCTTCATAACTTGTACTCTTCTCCAAGTATAATTAGAATGATCAAGTCAAGGAGAATGAGGTGGGCAGAGCATGTAGCACGAATGGGGGAGACGAGGAATGTGTATAGGATATTGGTGGGAAAGCCCGAAGGAAAGAGACCACTGGGAACACCAAGGCGTAGGTGGGTGGATAATATTAAAATCGATCTTAGAGAGATAGGATGGGATAGATTGGATTTATCTGGCTCAGGATAGGGACCAGTGGGGGGCTCTTGTGAAGACGGTAATGAACCTTCGGGTTCCACAAAATGCTGGGAAATTCTAGAGTAGCTACAGAATTGGCGGCTCCTCCAGAAGGGCTCAGCTCCATGAGTAANAAGTGACCGCAGTACAAGAGACTTATTCCCACCCCACTAACATAGAAAACTATGAACTTTTCCCTTATAATAAGCAGACATTAAATCGTCATGCAACCATTCACTATTAGGTTGTGCTACTCACACTGCCGAGAAAAAATATATAGGCCTATTGAATGCATGAACAATCAGCAGTAAGGCTCAAGTGTCTGTTAAACACATTAAACTAAAACTATAGGAGTGTGTGTGTGTGTGTGTGTGTGTGTGTATATATACAGGGTGTCCCAGGAGGAATGGGCCAAACT